TCTTTATTACCATTGTTTAAGATATTCCAAGTCACTCATTTATTTAACAATCTTTATCTTCAACAAAGTTACTGTTTCCCTTGATTATTTTATAGCCTTACTTACAGCTTTTGATCTATCTAAATTGCCTCTTTTCCTTGATAGCTAGAAAGAATTTTTGATTAAAAAGTACTTCTTGCAAAACTATGGACACAGTAAAAAATTAGTGGTTGCCAGGGGTTGAGGGACAGGGAGGGGGATGAGAGGAAAAATTGGCAAACCACAGAGAATTTTGTGAAAATACTCTGTAGGATATTTATAATAATGAATACATCCTAATACATATGTCCAAACCATAGAATGTACAATACCAATGGTGAATCCTAATGCAAACTATGGACTTTTGGGTGATTATAATGTGTCAATGTAGGTTCATGAGTTCTAACAAAAGGACCACTCTGGTGGGGGATGGGGATAAGGGGGGAGGCTGTGCATGTGTGGGAGTGGGGGGTATATGGGAAATCTGTACTCTCCTCTTAATCTGACTGTGAATCTAAGTCTGCTCCCAAAAAACAAAGTATTTAAAATAAAAAAGACTTTAAACCTAAACCTATTCCAAATCAAAGTAAACTCAAACTCTACTAGCGAAGTTATTGAGCTGATTTATTGGCTACCACTACACAATGTTCCACTGAATTAATGTACTTACCAAACACCTACACATGAGTGCACTGTTCCCACGTCCTCTTTATGACCCTTATCACCATACTACTCTATACCTCATCTCCCCTGACTGCATCCCTTCCAAATTTTTCTACTCTGCCCTCTTAGAATGCCACTGCATAACAGCAAATTTCCTTATATTTTCAAACCATCAAACTTCCTTCCTTATTAAAGTACCTGTTATACTCTCCTGAAAAAACCCCTGCCTGCTTCACATGCAGCTAAATCCTAGATGCTGAATGCTACTGGACATAATCATTCAAGTTTACAAGCTGGTATCGCCTATAAATTAGGACGTCTATACTAAACTTGGCTCCCAAGGCTGTGTGTTCTTCATCAACTCAATCTAACCTTGTCAATCTCCACAAATCTCCAAATGCTCCATCTTATCATTCACTTTCAGCAAATTACCTCACCCTAATTTATAAAAAGAAGAAATTAAAATATCAGTGATATTTCATTGAACTCTTTGTCACAGAACTAATAAACTTACTGTACCTAAACACCTTCTCTTTCCCTTCCCTCCTATTATTACAATGAAAATAAGGACCCTCTGTCTGTCCACAAATCACTCCATCTTGGCTCTCAACTGTATCTCCTCCAACTTTCCAGAACCCCAGGACTCCTCTTCCACTGATTTTAACTTTTCAAGTACAACCATAACTCTTTCCTCTAGTGCTCACTCCGTCAGTGTAGTATAAAGCACACAATTAGTTTAGTTGAAATACAAAGTAACATATTCAAGACTATGGATTCGTGCGAGATTACAAAAAGCACAATGCCATAGTAACAATGACTCTGTCTAGTGGAAGCGTCTATTTTCTTAAACCTTTAGCAAGACAGCCATAAATGTCATGGTCAAAAGCTTGAATTTCATTGTTAGTCAATAAAAACCAGTGAAGAGCTGTAAGTCAGCAAAGGGACATTTTTTTCCTCCCTAAGATGATTCCAGCCAATTAGACCAAGGGAAGGGTTTAAGGTGAGTAAAATGATTCAGACAGCATCCTTTACTTTGGCCATCTTCAGGTATCTTCAGCAGAACAAGTATGTCTTTTATTCAAATCTAAATCCACTTCTACTACATGGAAAACAGTACTAAAGATCATAACAGGAGATCATACTTTTATTATATAAACTCCAATGAACTATTCTAACTATTGCCAATTCATGCATCAATAAAGTCAAGCACTCTCTTCCAGTTCTAAAACTCTATGATATTATAACAGGAAAAAAAGAAACTGAGACAAAAGCAAGATTACTAGCGGCAAAAATGGAATAGACAGGAGATTCAGAACATCTTAGATTTTTTAAAGTAGGTTACTAAATATTTTATACATGATGACAGAAAGGAAGCTTTGAAACAGATATTATATAAAAAGGCATTACATTAAGCAGTAATTATCTAAATACTATAAAAGCTGTAAGTGAGAAGGCATATAAAACTGAAGCTAAAAACACCGGCAATATGTGACAAAACGCTATTCTCAAAAGAGAATAATATTCTCAATAGAGGAAAATGTTCTCTCACCATGAGCAACATTCCAATTTCTTATAAGCTTGTGAAAACAACTAGTCATGTCAGGAATGTTGTTTTATTAATAGGTTAACTGTCCCTAACTCCTAATGCCATTATTTTCCGTTTAAAATAAAATGATTACTTTTTTCACTTAATTGATCACTAAGTTACATATTAAGAATGAAGAATCATTAATAGTTAAACATTTTTCTTTTTTTATGGTTTCAATTGAATTACAGGTAATTTGCCAATTATTAATTACTACCCTTTGTTCAAAGATCTTGGAATTTAATTTATGTATATAATCAAATTCAATATGTCACAGAGAAAATGTCATACTTGCTATGCTGTTCTCTATTTGAAAAAGCGATTCAAGCAGTCAAAAGTTTAATTAAAATAGAATATATGCCCTAAGATTTTACATGTATATATCTAAACAGTTCTTTTTCTGACCTCACCTACTTTTATCAACCACCCATGAGAACAAACCAATGATATCTAGTTTTCTATCATTCCTATGTATGTGGCTATTTTTGCTAATGCTTTCCAGAATACTCAAAATCACTTAATTTAGTAATGTACTGTTTCTTTATGTGCATGCTTATATTCAGATTTGAGAAATCGAAATGTTGTTTATTTAAGGAATCTATAACTGGAATTACGGAAAAAAAAAAAACCCCCACAGGAATCCTACACAGGGAAGCCACTGATTGAAGTCCAATGTTTGACTACTTAGAAAATGAATCATCCAGTCATCACAAATTCCCTTGTGGGGAAAATGTGCAAAAGCCTTCAAATACAGGAAGAGCCCCATGAAAGACATATATTAAAATAAACAAACATACTAGAAAGGTGATGATTTTTCAAGTCAGTATGACAATCCCATTAAAATGCAACACACGTTTTTCTGCAAAAGGGAAATCTAAAAAGATGAAATAGATGCTTTATATAAAATATTTACATATACAATGTGCAAAACCACTACGGTTAGTAACCTTTATGGCTTTGACGAACTAGATATTTACATATCTTTCTTTCTGCATGTGCGTGTGCGTATGTGTGTTTTGTATATATTTTTAACAGTTGACAGCTGTTTTAGAGCATACAGAGATGCCAAGCTGAATGAGGGTCTTGATTACTTCAAGATTAGCTATCTAAAGTTTCTATTCATTTTAAGTGTTGTTAGTTGGAAGAGTCATTAGTCACTTCCTTGTCTCATAGAACATCAGCATACATTTACATTGTTAATGAACATTTGGGGTAAATGAATTAATGGCACTTTTAAACATCAATTCAGTCCTAATAACTTTGTATGTCATAGAAATGTTAGGCAAGGATATAAACGAAAAACCTTTTCAGTAAAGGTAACTACTCCTTCCTGCAACAATAAAGGACAAAATTAATTTAAAATATTTTTAACCAGTTTTTTTTAAACCCTCAATATCTAATGAACTAGACCAGAGGAAAACATGCAGTTAAAAAAAACCCCTCTATGCTCTAAGATAAGCATTTTAGCCAGAAAATTTTGGTGAAACTATTTTATATATGTACAACACAGACATATTCACTTTTATAATGTCCCCTTATATAAGGATTTGTAAAATAATTGGACTTAATTATTAATGATTCTTACAGATATTGCATTTAAGAAAAAACATTACTAGGGAAGATAGTATTGTTACCACTGAAATTTTTAAAATGCTGAAACTGAAAAAAAATGCTGAAATTGAAATGAGATACTAATTTTTATTTTATTTTTCATATTTCAAAACCTTAAAAAGCAGTCTTTTTGAGACCTTTTAAATAAAAGCAAATATTAAAATAAAATCAGAAAAATAAGTTGTATGGCAAATTATACTATTTTCAATGACACACTCCAAAAAGTCAAGAGCTTGTACACTAAAGAAATGGCCATTTTAAGGAATCAATTATTTAAAAAATTCCCAAAACATGAGTTAATGGCAGACCTTTACATCAATATAGAAACAAAAATTGTATTTTAAGTATCCAAAACACATATAAATTACTTTGACTAATTATGACTTTTAAAATAGATCAGGATTACGAAATCCTGATCTGATAAGTGCATTTCATGAGTGAAAAACAAGGAGATTCATGAGTCAATGAATTGACTTTATCAAACATTTAGTAAATTCATTAAAAATAAGGATAAGGCTTCAAGAATTCTAACAAACTCATTTCCTTCTAAGATGACATTATTATTACTAATACTGAGAGAAAAATACAGAGTTCTGATACAAACACATTTCGTAAATTTTTATGGGATAGGCCCTTAGTACAGTTTACCTTTTAACAATCTATCTTTTAAAAATTTCAAAGCATAGATCTTTTAAAGTACAACATAAATTTCAATTATGTTTTTTTAAAAGGAGAATCAGGCCAGTCTTTTAATCCAGAATAATCTCAATTTGCTGGAGGAAAAAGAAATCCCTGTAAAATCAACACCAGAAAGCTTAAATTCCTTTAAAAGGAGTTTGACAAAAGTCATTTCACATTTCAACATCCTTATGCTGAAGTAATTAAGTATGGTTTTTTTAAAAACAAATGACAGCACATTAAACATCTGACTAATGCTTTTGTTTATAAACAAAAGTTGATGTTTTGTGGTATTCATTCCTCAGAGTGCTCTATCCAGGGAAATGTTCTTTAACGTTGCCCTGCTTAGCTTCATTTACAGAATTACACACTTAAGGCAGGCAGAACTAACGGGAACTGCTAAGGTTCTCAGTAACCAAAGAATGTGTCTGCACGCAAAACTCACCTCCTGTCTTGTTCGAGTAACTGGACAAGGGGTCAATACCCACTTCTTGCTCTTCTGGCTGCAGAGGATGTCTAGTTTCGGATAAGGAGTGATACATTGTGAATACTGGACCGTGTCAGCAAAAGTGATTACCTGGGTGATGAAGAATATAGAAAAAAATGATAAATATTCTTTCTTTCTGCCATGACTGGGAATAAATACAAGGCTAAATGATTAAATGAGCATTACAGACATTAACAAATTTTCTACAGGCTCCAGGGACTGGCACTACACACTGGAAGCATATGCAAAGAATTGAAAAAGTGACATTAAATTTCCGTGTCAACAATTTCTTTCCAAACTGGAACTTCGTTGGTAACCTTTACCTCAATGCTCAATCACATTGTCAGTAAACTGAGCAAAAAGTTGAATCTTAAGTTAAATTATTATTACATTTGCAATATTTTTTTGTTTCACTGCCAAAATAATAAATATTTATACAACAGAAACTTTCAAAATGTAGAAAATATAGCAAACTGAAATCATTCATAATTGTAGTAGCTCAAAGTACTATGGTTAACATTCCAGTTTGTCTTATATATCCTTTCTGCCTTTCTCCTGGGCATTAAAATATATATATTTACATAAAATACATAACATATATTTATACATATATATAAACTGGAAAGTATATACATATATATTCTTTTAATTTGCTCCATCATGCTAAATACAATGATTATATAAATTATTGTGTTTTCCTTGTCATAAAAATCTATTATCACTACTGATGCATCCCTAGTATTCCATTATATAGCTATAACAATTTATGTAACCAGTTCCTTATTAGTAAACAATTAGAATATTTTCAATTATTCAACAATATAAACAGCTTCATTAGTTTAGAAATGTCTGTGCTACATCCGTCATTATTATCTTAGGATAAATTCTTGTAAGTGTAATTGTTGGACCCAAACATATATATTTTTCAATTTTTATTGTTGTTCAATTATAGTTGTCCACATTTTCCCCCCATTACTCTCCCCTGCCCTACCCACCCCCAGCTCCCACATTCAATTCTCTCACCCCTACCCCTGTTGTCTTTGTCCATGGGTCCTCATGATGTGTTTTTGGCAAATTTTGCTCTAGAAATACTTGTACACAATTCATTTCTCATGGACCTTCATACCAATGGGAATGGGTAATTCCTTTGGGGAGGATGCGGGCCAGAGCGACAGTCAAATTTTAATACTGCATTTGCTTGGTGCCTAGTGAGGTTACTGACGACTTCACATGTTTCCTCTGACATTTGTGTATTGTCCTGTGTGGACAGAGTTTATTATTATGATTGGCTTCATGATTTTAAACATGCTTTTAAATATTAACTATATTAAACATTTTTCATAGGACACTTTTTTTTTTCAGACTGTGTTTGTCTTCAAAGTATGTGGCATTTTTGTAACCTAAGTAATTTTTTCATTTTCATGCGCTCAAATACATCAATGCCTCCATTATGGTTTCTGTCTCTGGTAATATGTTTACAAAGGCAAGATTACAGAAATAAGCACCTATTTTTTCTTTTATAGTTTTGAAGATTTTCCTCCTTAATTCTTATTCCTATAAATAATTCCAATTTACATAAAGATTTTTTAATTAAATTATTTTTGAACTTTCTAGCTACGCTGACAGAAGCAGAGGGTTAGGCAACACTAGGGAAAACTGTAAATCCTAAATGCATAAAACTAGATGGTTGTCAGTATTTGTGTGCAAATCAATCAACACATACTAAATGCTTATAATTGTTGAAGAAGAAACAGTGCAGCCAATGTGTCATTAGCACAAAATGAAGTCGCTTGTGCTAAATCCCACATCAGCAAACCAAGATTTAATACCTCACTTAACTGCAGTTCCAGCTTCTCCCAGGAATGTAACCATTAACCAGTCAACCTGGAATTACCTGGTCAGCACCAGTGAGGTAATCCCCAATAAGTAATCTCCTTCAGTTCCCCATGGGTAAATTAATGAAATCTGAAACAATCTACCCTTTTCCCCATTCTGCCTGTAGAATGCTTCTACTTTTGTACAGCTTGGAGCTCCTCTCTACTGATAGATGGGATGCTGCCTGACTCATGGATCATTGAGTAACACTGATCCTCAAATTTACTAAATTGAATTTTTTATACTTAATACTATACACAAGGAATTCTGGGGAACATAATCTAGAAGAGAATAACAAAATGTAGACGATCAGTTATATCACAAAATAGAACCAGAGAAACTCTGCTGAAGCCCTCTCTACTAGGGAGAAGTAAGGATCACCAACTCGGATGCTTAACGGGGTCAGGCAAGAGAAGCCTTACTATTTACAGTTAACATCTACTAAACGATGAATAAACATGCTGACAAAAACTCATCATGCATCCTCTTAGTAATGCTATGACATATCTTCATCATTTTCATCTAACCAAAAACTGAGGTATAGAGAGACTAAGTAATTTGTCTACAGTCACATAACTAGGAGGTGTTGAAGCCTGAATATGAACCCACCCTATTTTACTACGGAGCTCACATTTTTGGGCTCCTACACTACATTTGAGTCCATTAGTAACACATGTAGATAAGCTACGAAACAGCGGGGTATAAAGGACAGGGTCTGTGAATAACCGGAACATCCTTTATTCTGCTTCAACTTTTCCAAGACAAACTAGAAATCAGAATTTCCTGTGAAATCTCTTTCCTTATGAGTGTTGGCAAATCATTTGAATTTTAAGAAAAAAGAATTTATGAAACAAAACACATTTCAAAATTGTATCTGGCCCATGGACAACTATTTAATGTAAGATTCATATCCTCTATATATTTTATTATACTCTTAAAAATACAAGAGCAAACATTTGAAAATGCATATTCCAAGTTAAATACCAGATTTTCTTAAAATTTCTTTAATTTCCTATAGCATGTATTCATATCATTACCTTAATTTATTCTTATAGTGTTCTTTCACTGTTACAAACTTCACATACATAAAATATACAACTAAGGGGACTTCATATATTCCAAGAAAAATAGACAAATGATGAGCAAATTGATAGCAAAATATTTTTTGAAAGGATACAAAAAAACTTTCTAAAGCTAAAATAATCTACAATATAATAATGTTTTTGCACATTCATGTAGGATGCTCAAAGGTACTTATTTTTTTTTAGAATCCTTAGAGAAAGTTAGGTTCAAGAAATCATTTAATTTTAGCTTAAATAATAATTCTTTATAAATCGCTAATTCAGCGCTGGCTGGCGTAGCTCAGTGGATTGAGCGCGCGCTGGGAACCAAAGTGTCCCAGGTTCAATTCCCAGCCAGGGCACATTCCTGGGTTGCATGCCATAACCCTCAGCAACCGCACATTGATGTCTCTCTCTCTCCCCCCTTCCCTTCCCTCCCTAAAAATAAATAAATAAAATCTTAAAAAAAAAGAAGTGGCAGAAACATTTCTAAAAAAAAAAAAGCTAATTCTTCAGTAAATCCAGTAACCACAATACAAAATTTACCAAATACACCAAAGTACAATGCAGATATCTACTATATTCTGATTGATTATGCCTACAGATTACAAGGGAACCAATGAAATGCTTTTATACTTAAATAAAGACAACTTGCTGAGTAGTAATAGAGATAACATGAAGAAACCTGATGAAAAAATGTGGACAATATTCTTTTAATTATGAATTTAAAATAATAATCTAGTTCAAAAGTAACTTACTAAGTAGATGCTGCTTTGCTTTTTTGTTGTTTTAAGTACAAAGAGCTATTTTAGCTTCCTAAAATAAAAAAGTGTGTTAATTACTGCTATTGTGATTCTTATAAAATCACAATATAATGTTGTTTTTAAACGTGAAGTAATTATCCAATTTGTGTTTTATAGCTATATCAACAAGTGAAAATATTTGACTATGACAAAGCAGATTAAAGATTTTTAAACAAATGAATATAATATTTATTTTAATCACTATTACTAATAAAAATTTTACCTATATTAGACTAAATGAAAATATTTGAAAAAAATTCAAATAAAAATTTAAAGAATTTGTCTCAAATTTCAATATAATCACTATAAAAGTCAAAATGGCATAAACATTTTGAATTCACAGTAGACAATTATATTTTATATTTACATTACAAACTGAGACTTCTATATCTGATATGCTTTAAACTTCTCTATATAGAATGTAGATTTATAAAGAGAAAAATATATAATATAATGACCAAAATGTAAATACTCAAATCCATACTTTATGGATTTCAGTTTTCTTAGATAACACTAAACTGTCACTAGAATTTCCCTGAGTAACAAAAAATGATACTCAAAATATTTTTAAAAATAAAGGCAAACTTATTTTTTCTAATTCACAAAGCACAGCAATATACCTTTCAATACTTGAGGAGTGAAATATCCTTGTCTTTGCTACACTTACTACGGATAACAATTCCTGCTTCACATGAACTCAAAATACAAAACCCCTCAAAACTGGTTGTGCAGCACAGCCTCACTGCTATCCTGGTTACCAGAACTGGCATATTATGCTGGAACTGCTATCTAAAATCCAAAGCTACTCCAGAGGACAGTTGTACTGGTTGCACAAATTTGGTTTTTGTAGTATTAAATCTTTTTTTTTTAAAGATTTTATTTATTTTTATTTTTAGGGAGGGAAGGGGGGAGAGAGAGAGAGAGAGAGAGAGAGAGAGAGAGAGAGAGAGAGAGAGAGTGTCTCATCAATGTGCGGTTGCTGGGGGTTATGGCCTGCAACCCAGGAATGTACCCTGGCTGGGAATTGAACCTGGGACACTTTGGTTCCCAGCCGGTGCTCAATCCACTGAGCTATGCCAGCCAGGGCTTTAATCTTAAGATAAAAGTGATCTGTCTGAAAAAGAAATCTTGTGAAACAGTTAATATTTAATGAAAGGTAAGTTTTTAGCACTAAAGCTTAGAAAACAGTTTTAATATACATTAAATAAAATTGCAAAACTACTGTTTTTTATGTAAACTGAAGCAATACAAGTTTCTAAGTGAAATTTTAATTAGCATTGTACAGACAAAACATGTTAGTTGAATAGAATTTTATCTTTTAAAATGGCATCATATAATCAAAGCCTCTAGG